GGTCAACCGCAAGGGAAAAAAGTAATCAAGAGCGAACTTTTTTCTTTGAAATTTGCGATAATATATTCAGTACATTTCCCGACATTTACTCCTTCATATAATTTGAGGGGGTGGGGAGGGGAGAGGAGAATGAAGTGGCAAGGGGCGCTGCTCCAGTGCGCGTTCCGGAGATCTTATCCGGGATCGTACGACGTTCAGGAGGATCAGATCAGACCTTATAACCCTCAGAAGCCGGTCAATTGGCACCAAACTTGTGTAGGAGCTTAAAAACGCTGACTTGTACATCGGCTGGTCTCCACAAATTATTGTATGGCCCCAATTGATATACGTGCCGCTACGACTCCGAGTTCAAGTAGAACGCATGGCTTATTCAGGTTGCTTTAGCCCTACATCTTATCGACCGTTGAGCCGAGCTGCGAGTCTAATAAATACAATAGCGCCTTGAAGCATTTGTCAAGAACGGGTTTTCATACGCTAGGTTACTTTCCTAGATACTAGTTGAAGAATAATATGACCTCTTTCTTTCAATGTCTTGGCTGCTCGAACCTAAACCTTCCAAAAATGTTATAAAAGCATAGCATATCAGTATTTGGCCGTTTGTCTAGTTAGAAAAAAGTGCGTTAGGACTATCGCGAACATTTTGGGCCGTTAGTGTGAATCGTGAGCCTGAAATGCACTAGCGTTTTTACTTACCCATGTTTGGCTAACTGGGGCGGAAGTGGTGTAGTGACAAGTGGCGCGCTTACCACGCGAGCGGTCCGGGGATCAAATCCTGGGTCGTGAGTCGCCCGGGCCAACCAAGCCTTCCATCCCTCCGGGGTCGGTTAATTGGTACCAGACTTGTCTGGGAGGATAAAAACACTGACTTGTACATCGGCTGGCCCCCGCAAGTCATTGTATAGGCCACATCGCATTCAAACGCCACTACGAATGTACAAATGGAAGTAGAATGCGTGCCGCATCCCAAAAAGGGATTGATCAACGGCAAATGCTTTATCCTTTTATTTTATACCTATCTCATTCAAGACAAGCCGGGGTGAGTGAGTGGGAGCCAGAGTTGTGGGTGTTCTATACCAATTTGTGTACGCTCGCAAAATTACTTGACTAACGAAGTGATACAGAGTTGTTGGACGACACAATTCTATGGGATGTAAATATGTACAAATTCTATTACCCTATTTATAGCATTTGTACGAGTAGCGGATTCCTGAGCGGGTTTGTCGTCTTGGGTGCGTGCTACTCAGGTGCCCATTATGATGAGGCTGAACAAAAGGGCTCGTCGAGGGCGTCTGCGAGCGCGCGGCTGTCACGCGGCGAATTAAGCTATTTGAGGGATAAGCCGACATCAAAAAACACCAGAATTTCCCCTGAGCGGTCTTTCAAATTAACCAGTAATCAGTGTTTGTTTGCAGTTGTGGTCAGTGACGTCAGCACTCGGTTGGGCCGGATGGTCCCCGTGGACGCCATGTTCAAAAACGGTGAGTGTTTCAATGGCTCTTCACGCATGAACACACTTGAGCACACTGCTCCTGACGAGACAATAGACTGGTCAAAAAGCGCTCGGGAGGGCGAGGCGGTCATGAATAGGAGCTGCTTTATGTGTGGGCCAACGTACTCCAGCAGAATTATATCCCTGAATTGCTATCGCGTGGGGGTGCTTCATGTGCTGAACGTATTAAAACCATTGGTCGGGTTTAGGTGCTATGAGGCAGTCCCTCCGAGTGAGGAACAGGGCCCCAAGCCCAGGAGCCGCTCGTCACTCAGAAGTACGCGGCAAGGATGCCAACCATAAGGCCGTTGTCCATTTCCAAAAATTCAACGACCCCTCTTAGTAACTTCTCGACATGACCCCTCACCACCATCATCGGCCTCAGGGATGTTCCCAAATGCGACCCACCTCCCCATCACCGACCACCACCTTAGCCGTCATGGTTGCTTCTACAGTACATCAGT